CGGAGAGTACTCCCCTGCGAGATGTATGTATGAGATTGACCGTGATAGCTCCAGTTCTGGATGCCATTCGTGGGGCTCAGGCCGAGGCCGTGCATCCGGAGATGCAGAAGAGAGAGCGGGTTGTTGGATTGGTTTCTGAGTTTGTATCGGATAGTCGAGGTCTTATGACTTATCAGGGCAGGATCTGGGTACCGTTTGTGGGCGGTACACGTGCTACATTGATGGAGGAGGCTCATAGATCGAAATTTTCGATCCACCCCGGGGCCACGAAGATGTATTTGGACCTAAGGAAGGAGTATTGGTGGCCCTGTATGAAGAGGGATGTAGCGTGGTTTGTCGAAAGGTGTTTGACCTGTCGAAGGGTAAAGGCCGAACACCAGAGACCGCATGGCAAGTTGCAGCCATTGGAGGTTCCCGAGTGGAAGTGGGAACAGATCACTATGGACTTTATCACCAAATTGCCGAGGACTGCCAGAGGAGTTGATGCAATCTGGGTGATCGTGGATAGATTGACCAAGAGCGCTCACTTTCTTGCCATCAGTGAGAGTTCTTCGGCGGAGAAGTTGGCAGAGGTTTACGTGAGGGAGGTTGTATCTCGGCATGGGGTGCCGATCTCGATTGTTTCAGACCGCGATGTGCGGTTCACTTCCCGTTTTTGGAAGAAATTTCATGAGGAGTTGGGTACTAAGCTGCATTTTAGTACCGCATACCACCCCCAGACCGACGGTCAGAGTGAGCGGACGATACAGACACTCGAGGACATGCTTCGGGCCTGTGTTCTGGACTTTGGGGGTAGTTGGGACACGTATTTGCCTCTGGCGGAGTTTTCCTACAACAACAGCTATCATTCGAGCATCGGTATGCCACCTTTTGAGCTGCTGTATGGTAGGAGGTGTCGGACTCCCATATGTTGGGGAGAGGTTGGGCAAAGAGTAATGGGCAGTACAGAGATCGTGAATCAGACGACAGAGCAGATACAGCTGGTCAGGCAGAGGTTATTGACCGCTCAGAGCCGACAGAAGAGTTACGCGGATAGACGCCGGTCCGAGCTGGAATTTCAGGTCGGTGACTTTGTTCTCCTGAAGGTCTCCCTTGGAAGGGAGTGATCCGGTTCAGGAAGAGGGGCAAATTGGGGCCCCGGTTTATAGGCCCGTTTCGTGTGATTGCCAGGGTAGGCCGGGTAGCCTATCGGCTGGAGTTGCCAGCAGAGTTGGGGCAGATTCACAACACGTTTCATGTGTCGCAGTTGAGGAAATGTATAGCCGATGAGTCGGCAGTGGTTCCACTTGAGGATATCCAGGTCGATGCGAGCCTGAATTATGCGGAGAGACCAGTGGCTATTAGGGATCGGAAGATCAAGGTTTTGAGGAACAAGGAGGTACCTCTGGTGTTGGTTCAGTGGCAACATCGGAAGGGATCAGAGATGACCTGGGAGCCGGAGGGTATGATGCGGGAGCAGCATCCGGAGCTGTTTTAGAGTGGGACTTCGAGGGCGAAGTCCAGTTCTAGTGGGGGAGAGTTGTAACATCCAGATTTTTTCAGGTATTTATAAATTTAATTGTGTTATTTGTGAGAGGGACTCGGCGAGTTGGGCTTGAACTCGCCGAGTAGGGACGCAGAACTGATCGGGGTGCGGACTTGGACTCGCCGAGTCCAGGGTATGGACTCGGCGAGTACTCGCTGTGTAATGGAACCCTAAATCTCCGGGTTGTGGCCTATTTAAAGGGCCTTATGGCCGACTTTTGTGCTCACCCAACCCCCAGAGAGAAACCCTAAAGAGATCTAGAGCGTTTGTGAGGAAGGAGAGGCCAATCTTGAACTTTTGTGGGTGTTGTTGCAAGAAGGAAGTGTTCAAGGCAAGAGGAGGCTGAAGGAGGTGCGATTTTTGTGGTCTTTGAGCTCATAG